AGGTGTATGCTTTTTGTTCAGTCTCTTCCTGCATCCCCATGCCTCTTTTCCCCCAAGAATTGTCAGTCCACTCCCTTTCTATGCCCCTGATTCTATTATATTCACCAGTTAATACTATTCATCAGATTTTTTATTCTCTTGGTTTTTAGATTCACTTATTGATAGATATGTATTTGTTGTTCATGATTTTTATATTTATCTTTTTGTTCTGGGTAAAGTAATCTTGGTTGTAGTTTCTTGCTATTTGTCACTTTGAATATTTCTTGCCATTTCCTCTGGTCTGCATAGTTTCTGTTGAGAAATCAGCTGACAGTCGTATGGGTGCTCCCTTGTAGGTAACTTACTGTTTTTCTCTTGCCGCTTTTAATATTCTCTTTTTGTCTTTTGCTCCTGGTATTTTAATTATGATATATCTTGGTGTGATCCTCCTTGGATTCCTTTTGTTTGGGGTTCTGTGTGCTTCATGGACTTATAAGTCTATTTATTTCACCAGGTGGGGGAAGTTTTTGGTCACTATTTTTTCAAATAAGTTTTCAGTATGTTACTATCTCTTTTCTTTTGGAACCCCCATAATTCTGATGTTGGTACGCTTGAAATTGTCCCAGAGACTTCTTACACTATCTTGAACTTTTTGGATTCTTTTTATTTTTGCTTTTCTGGTTGACTATTGCTTCTTTGTATTCCAAATCTTTGACTTGATTCTTTCAATCCTCTAGTCTGTTGTTAGATCTCTGTATAATATTTTTTTTATATCAGTCAGTGTATGCTTAATTTCTAGTTGATCCTTTTTCATATCCTTGAGGGTTTCATTAAATATATTGGCATTTTCTAGGAAATTCTTGACAAACCTTATAACTATGGTTTTGAACTCTAGATCCAGTCATTTATTTTCTTCCATTTTCTTCATTTGTGACCTGCCTCTTTGTCTCTGCATTTTGACTGCTTCCCTGAGTTGATGGAGTGGCTTTGTGTGCTAGGTTTCCTAGCCAGGCCCAGTGGCTCAGCCTCCCCAGGCACCTGAGGTGGACACTTTTTGTGTTTCCCTTTGTGTACTGTGTGGGCAGTCTTATTGTAATTAAGCCTAGATTGTTGTTAGTATCACTGTGGGGAGTTGACCTCCAGACCAATTGGCTGTGAGGATTAGCTGTGTCTACGCTGGGAGAGCTTCTGTGCTCAGTTTGGATGTGATGGAGTCTCAGGGCGGAACAGACAGCCTTGGTTTCCCATCAGACCCATCCTACGAGGCTGTACCACAGCAATAGCTGCACGCACCTCTGAGAGAAGGCTGCCCTCGAGTTTTGCTCTCTGCCAGACAGTCCGTTTTTCCCCTGAATGAATCTGGGTACCCAAGGTCTCACCAAGAACTGGATTTCAGTGCAGTCAGGAAGTTTTGTTTCCCTCTTGAATGAGAACACTAGCAGCCTGCTTGCTGCCCACCCTCTCTGAGTGCCAAGAGTAAGCCAGCCACTTATTTAGCCATCCAACCTTTCTGCACCTGTGGGTCTCTGCACCTCTGTCCTCCACTGCTCCTCTGGGTCTCACTGTCCTTTTATCTTCCCTTCTAGTTGTACGATTTTCACTCAGACAGCTTTTTGGTGGTTTTGGACGATGTCTGCTCTGTCTTCCAGTTGCAGTTTGGAAATTGTTGTGTGAAGTAGCAGTATAGGTGTTTACCTATGCTTCCATCTTGTTTTCTTCAATTTCTGAAACTTTTATTGAGCACCCACTGTGTTCTGGGCAGGAATTTCCTTAATTCCGCAGTGTTTACTGAGTCCTGACTCTTTTGATCTAGGGTTCTGACAATGTTCTGAGAATGGACTAAACTGAGAGTGGGAATTTGCACATAGTGAAAGATATTCATGAGCTGAATACAAATTGGAGTTGGGGAATACTTGCCAAGTGTCTTAGTTTTCTTCCTTTAGTTTAAAATTATGAATATGATGCTTTCAGGGGAGGTCATGTTGTAAAAGAATCTCTCTGTTCTTCGTGATACAGAAGGGAGGTGGGATGTTGCAAGGCTATTCAGTCTCAAACCTTAGTGAGAGCTTGGTGTAAGATGTGAGACTGCTGAGGACACAGAGATGACCACAAGGATCCTCAAGGATTTCTGCATTCTTCAAAGCTTTGGTATCAGCTGACTCAAGGTCAATGCATGTCTCCCACTCAAAGGCCACCCAAGAACTTCAGGCTGAATCTGCAGTCTCTGGATTTGCACAATATTCTTTACACACATACATAGACAGGCACACCAAACAAACTGAAAAAATAAAGAATCATTGATTTACATAATACTTTGGCCTTAAAAGTGTTTGTTCAGAAGGTTTGGATTCACCCCCAAGAGTGCTCTCCAGAGTGTCAGAGAACTGGGGTTATAAACCCTGACCCTTCATGCTAGGCTCTACCTGGGGCAGACCTGCATCCAGATGGGTCCAGTGGACTGTGACTCAAGGGGGCCAACCCTGAAGGTGGAACAACAACACAAAGAAATCCAATGCAAATCAGCCCACATCTTCACCTCAGACTCTCCAAAAAGTCCCATCCGTCCTCCTTCTAGGCTCCATCATTGGGGAGGGAGCCAGTGCCAGAATGATAAACCCGTCAGGGGCTGGAACCCATGCTATGAGACAGCCCCTAGGACACTGCCCTCACTCTTTGCTTTTGCTGCCCTGGACCTTTATGAGGAGTGCAGGCTCAATGACTTTCCACTGGTAACACTCATCCCCTCCAGTGCCAGACCTTCATACTTAGAGGCAGGGGTGTATCTCAAAATTTTTGGATCCACACTCCAATGCAGTGGGGCTGCACACCTATAAAATTGGAAGCAAGCTTGCACAACTGATCCTCACTCCATACCCTTTCCAGAGCCCCTTTTCATGTACCATGCAACCCCCTCTTTAGAGATCCATACAAGTAATAGAAGGTGTTTTTGACAGAAGTCTCTGCTAAGACTCTGTGGAGACACCAGGGGGCGTGTGTCTCTTTTTCAGCTCTCACGTTGCAAAAGCAGTGGTGCCCTGGAGCCTAGCCAAGCTGCCCTGCCCTTGTCCTTACTGTTAAAGATCTATTGCAGAAACTCACTGCTGTGAGACTAGGTCTCTGGGATGCTTCGGAAGGATTTCTGTTTCTAGCCCCTGTAGCTTCCAGGTGAGTGAGTGTCATCCAGATTTCATTTCTCTCTTAACTGCTCTCTCCCGAACTTCCTGTGATTGTTCCCAACTGGATGGACTCTGAAACTCCTGGCAATCCCCAAGCAGTTATATAGCTTTTAGCATTCACAAGAGTGAAGCACCCCTCACGTGGGCTGGGAGATTTCTCTGCCTCTAGTTCTTGAGACTTTGTGGTTGAAAGAATGTTTAATAAAAAAATGAAATTTCCAGTTGCTTCCAAGAAAGTGTGAATTTTCCCCTTAGCAGGGTTTGCATGCCCGTTGGCTTCCTGAGGGCTCCTCCCTTTCTCCTTGCTTTCCTCCTTCATTATCTTGGGAAAGTTTTGTAACTGGGTGCTGGCAGTCACCCCAGGAAGTAGGGACAGGCTGGTTTCTGCAGAACCGCAGGTGCCATCCTGCGGCTGCCTCCCAACATAAGAGACAAACACTCTCTATTCTTCACAGTAGCTCTCTGCAGAAAGTTACAGCTGAAGGCTGTGTCTGCTTCTGTCTGTCTCTTCTGCTTGCTGGCTTATGGCCAGGCATTTGAGTCTCTGCTTTCTTCAAGGAAACCTCTTCCCTCTCCCAGTGCCTCTACTCTTCCCTGCCTACTAGTCAGAACTGTGAAACTGTGTACAGTGAGAGAGGCCCCAGAGCTTGAAACTGGCTTCTTCTGTCCTTGTCCACCCGCTGGTCCACCCTCTTTTATGAGATGGTTTCCTCATCTCACCCTGAAGCCCTCACGGACAGCTGGTCTGAACTCCAGGGTCTAGTCCTTTCCTTAGTCTCCCGAGGGGGCAGATGTCTCCACCTCCCCACCATCCCCCTCATACAATTCACAGAGGCCTTTGTGGTTACTGGGGTTTACAGTCTCCCTGATGGGGAGTTATGGACCCAGCCTTGGTCCCTGTTAAGCAGATCCTTTCTACCTTTGGAGTCTGGGTCTGGGTCTGGATTCAGCATGTGCGGCTGGCAGGGGAGAGCCTCAGTACCGGGCAGAGGGCCAGGGCTGGGGACAGAGTGTCTTCATGGAGTGAGGGGGCAGCTGTTAGGCCTTCTTCCCATAGTCCCTTCGTTTCCACACTCCCAGGTGCCAAGAGAAGTTTCCCAGAGTGAGGTTACCCCATTCCCTTCTTCTCCTCTTTGCCTCTGAGGTAGTCAGACACAGTCTTGTCTCCAGATTACCTTTCTGCCACTGAGATTTTCTGCATCATCAGGGGACAGGATACCCCTTTCCCTCTCTTTCTAATCCAAAACTTAGTCTTCCTGCAGAGCTCAGTTTTCCTAGGAATGAATTCTGTGCTGAGCCAAGTGGGAAGAACCTCAGGTGCTCCGCCCACTGCCAAAGTCACAAGGTAGGTGGAGCAGAGCTCGATATTGAACTCACGTGTGTCTGGATTCAAAGTGTGTCCTCTCTGTGAAACTCTCCAGTAGATCAGGGGGGCAAGGTTCCAGACTTGAGCAGGAAAGGGGGAAGAAGACAGAGCTGGACCATGGGCTTCAATTTAGGGCAGGTAGATGGGGAAAAGAAGAGGAGGGAAAGAAGGAGGAGTGGGAGAACCAAGATCAGGTGGCTGGGAAAACTATCATTAGGTCAAGGATTTCTTGAGCAATGCAATGTTATCTATTAGAAATGGTGTAAGTGTACCAAAGATCATACAAAATAGGGCATCAATCATACGCACTACACAAACAAATACTCACTAAACAAGATGAACAGAAAAGACTTGAGGACTCCATGTCAGAGGCCTGGAGGCTGGTTTGCTAACTTACACCCTGTGTTCTTAGATCCTCCTGACTGAACACTGGCCACGTTCTCATTTCACCCTTGCCTGCCGCCTGTCCCTGCAGAGCCATGTGGCTGTACCTGGCCATCCTCGTGGGCCTGTGCTACCTTCTGCGCAGGTACCGGGAGACACAGGTGGTGAGCCACCTCCAGGACAAGTATGTCTTCATCACGGGCTGTGACTCGGGCTTCGGGAACCTGCTGGCCAGGCAGCTGGACCTACGAGGCTTGAGGGTGCTGGCTGCATGTCTGACAGAAAAGGGGGCCGAGCAGCTGAGGGGCCAGACGTCAGACAGGCTGGAGACGGTGATCCTGGATGTGACCCGCACAGAGAGCATCGCTGCGGCCACCCAGTGGGTGAAGGAGCGCACGGGGGACAGAGGTATCACACAGGTTTCTCCAGTCTGTTCCTTCTCTCCTGTCAACAGAAGGCCCCTTGCTACCTGGGGAAGGTTCCCAACTGTTTTCTAGGACTTGAGGTCATACTAGCTCTCTTCACCTCACCCAGCATTCCAGCTGAGCCTCTTCTCAGTCCACTGCCCTCACCTCTGACTTTGCAGCTCTGTAGTTTGGGGAGAGTTTGTACTGAGGAGAACTGGTCCCTGCAGAATTCCTGTCTGTGTCTGAATGTCTAGATGCTGAGTGAGTGCCCCAGGGAGATGAGGGCCCACTTTCTGGAGGAGGGGTGGAGAGGGGTGGAGAAGGGAGCACTAGCTTGAAGCTTAATTGGGTGGCTGGGGGGCAGCGCTGGAGCTGGACTCCTGTTCTCAGCACATTTACATGTTTTTGTTGGTGAGTCATAATCATCAATCAGAGAGTTGATGCCACCCATTTTCAGGTGACAAACTGAGATTTCAGGAGGGTCAGAAAGGGAAGTCAGAAATGCAATGGGTGTTCTGTCCTCTCTCTCTCTTTTACTACAATTGTGCCTGTCATGTTAAGGGGGAAGAAAAAAGACAGTGATTTCATTTATCTAAGAAATGTAAAACACCATCAATGTAGAAAATATGGAAAGCACAGGGTTAGAGAAAACTCATCCATGATCTCACAACCTAGAAATAATGCTGTTAACATTTTGACATATATTATGTTTTGTCCATAGTTTATATCGTATTCTGTGCATTAATAGAAGATGAACAATTATTCAACATAATGAAATTTCTTAAAAAACATTAATTAAGAAATTAAAAAATCAATTACAGTTGACATTATTTTAGTTTCAGGTGTACAGCATTGTTGTCAGACATTTATATGACTTATAAAGTGATCCTTCAATAAATCTAGAACCCACCTTGTACCATACATAATTATTACAATAATACTGACCTCTTCTCTATGCTGTACTTTACTCCCAGTGACTATTTCATTACTTTATTACTTTCAAAATGTTGTGCTTTCCTAAATTTTGGTTATAATATATGTTTGATTGATGTCAAAATAATAGTTTAAACAGATCATCGTCAGAAATCAAGTTGGTGACTTCAATTATGTTCTTAGAATCAGATTATATAAATGTAACTCTAGAATTACCTTCAATATTCTCCAAATTAGGTTGAAAGTCCTATTTTGACCAGTCATTATCTCGGCAACCAAAACGCAAATTACACTCAAAGTCATGTGTGAAATTGATAGAATTTTCAGGTTTGGAATCACTTGAAATTACTATTTTTTGCCTTGTTGATTGAATAATCATATCACTGCCTCTGTCCAGGCTTTCATCACTTTCACTTGGAATATCTGATAAATTGTCAACAAATATATCCAGAATTTTATCATGTTCTTCATCAATATCCATGGATACTGAGCAGTTTAAAAAAATGAAATTGATATTAAAAAAGTTATTTTTACTACTAATGACAATAGACTAATTACTTTTAATTTCTTTGTAATTTTTAATTTCAGCAATTGCAGTGTCCATTACTGTCTTTCTCTAAGTGACAACAATGAAAATCTGAGAATTCTTGTGATTGGCCATAAGGCTTAGAACAGAAAAATGGGAATTCTCGTGATCTGTCTGCAATGTATTACGGAAAACAAAAACCAGTTATAAAGCAGTATCTTATGATATGATATGGAATTGTTTCCTATATTTTATTCAACATAAATGATGCCTTGGGAAACTTCTTCTTTACCCAAATCTCTATAACTATGTGCATGGATTTGGTTCTTAGAAGGGAAATACATGGTAGAAAAATAGGACCCCTGTAAGGGCAGAGTATGGCTGAGCAGGCCAGGGACTCCATTCTTTGGGTCAATATTTACAGATTCCCATCACCAGCCCTTGCCCTGTGTCCTACTGCTCCCTGCTCCCGCTGTCCTGAGGTTGTTGGTTGGTAAATTTTTAAATCCTCAGGACTATCTTTGCTCTTGCAGAGAGGTTTCCATGAAGCTGGGTAAATGATCAGCCAGGGGGCTGCTGTGGGGGTGGAGGAGAGTGGCCTATTGTACAAGTGGGAGGAGAGGGTGCACTCTCTGGGGCTGATGGTGAAGTCTGTGCCTGCAGTTGGGGAGGGGCAGCCTTGGGCCCCCCTCAGAGCCTGTCCTTGGGATTCTCAGAGCTCTTGCAGGATCATGGTCCAATGTTGATGCAGATTGTGTCAAGGTCAGTGAGCTGAGGCAAACCACAGACTTGTTCATCATGTTTCCTCACATTTGGGATTTCAGGTATTTTTTACCCAAGCTGTGTCCCCAAATATTAGCCATATTTATAGTATTGTCTTTTGTTCAATGTGTGTGTTTATCTCTCTCCCCTCCATTCTTCGTTATCTCTCTGTCATTGTCTCCCTCTTTCCCTTATTGATAGTTGTTGAGTGCTCACTATGGAAGCTGTCCAGAAATCTGAAAATGTGGGTGAATATTTACGTCTGCGGGGAGAACACTGATGTGTGACAACCAAGGCCTATTCTCCACTTCACCCACCTGAGATTTCAGATCTTTTTTACCCAACCAAAGTGTTCTTAGGTGTTCACTGTCTCTTATCTTTTGGTCATTATACACAGTGGTTTTGTTCTTCTTTTCCTCTCCATTCTTATTTATTTATTTATTTATTTATTTATTTATTAAATTATTATCTGTGTACATATCTTACCATTGCCCCCACCCCCTTCATTCTTTGTTCTCTCTCTGTCTGTGTCTCTCTCTTTCCCTCATGGGGATAGTATTGATATGTGAAAACTCGAACATGGCTCTGTGTGATCCACACTCTGGACTCACTTGATTTCCTCAGCATCAGTCCTGTGTCATCAAATCTCCTCTGCCAGGCAGGGGGCTGGGTACTAGGAATAAACCAGGAAGAAGGCTGACTCTGTCACCACAGCTTACAGGGTCTGCCCTGCCCCAAACCCTGCAGACAACATGTAGTTCTCTGTTCTACACACTCCCCATGTTGCCTCCTCCTAATGTCCTCACTCAGTTGGAAGGTGAATTGAAAGCACAGGTGTGTCCTCACTGCACAGTCTCAGCACAGTCTTCTTCTCTCCCCTCTGTGTGCCCAGGTCTCTGGGGCCTGGTGAATAATGCTGGCATCTCTGTGCCCACGGCACCCAATGAGTGGCTGACTAAACAAGACTTCGTGAAGATACTCAACGTGAACCTGCTGGGGGTGATCGAGGTGACCCTGAGTCTGCTGCCCCTGGTGAGGAAGGCAAAGGGCCGAGTGGTCAATGTCTCCAGCGTCTTTGGTCGTGTGGCCTTCATTGGTGGGGGCTACTGCATCTCTAAGTATGGCGTCGAGGCCTTCTCAGACTCCCTCAGGTATTGGACTGGGACAGGGGCCCTCCCCTGGTTCTTCTGCTTCTGTGCTTGTGGGGGAGCCTTTGCCAAGGGGCTGATTTCACACAGCCTCAGAGGCTCTTCCTTCCAGATCCTTCTCTCTTGTTTTTTACCAAACATTCATTGGGAGCCACTTTTTTATCTTCTGGAGGTCTGGATAGGCCTCAGGGCAATGGAGTTGATTCTACCAGTCCCTGCCCACAGTCAGAAAGCATGTGAGGCAGAATTGGAACTGATCTGACTCCACTGCTCAGCCCATGCACATACATTACTGCTATGAGAATTGGGTTCCAGGGCCCTGTTGTCAGTGAAGGCCCAGGGAAGCACTTTCTTCAGGGAGCTTCTTCATCTCATCAGCAGTAGAGACTGCACTGGCTACAGGGCTGAGGAAGGCTGTGATAGGGGGACAAGGGGCGAGGTGAGACAGCAGGCCCAGAGAGCTCCTTAGAGGACAGAGTCCTGGGCGTTGACCTGGGTGGGAAAGAATAGGCAGGGGTTTGAAGAACATGGGAAAGATAAAACTGGCATAGCCCAGATTTTTATTGCATGTGACAGAAATACAAGGGGATAGAATTTAAGTGGTGCCTTTCAGCAGAAATGGTAGGATTTAGAATTATAAGCAAAAGTATGCAAATACTTGTAAAAATACTCAAACTCTGTAGAGAGGCAATACTATCATCATAAATTTTCTCCTCCTGTCGGTGCACTTCACAACTCCCTGCACTTGTGAGCTTAATCTACTGCATTCTTATATTGGTGTTCTATTGGGTTGGGGTTTTTTCCAGGTGTTGTTCTCTTTTATAAGACCTCTGAAGTCTTTGCTCTCTGTTGGTTTGCCTTGCAGGAGGGAGCTCTCCCACTTTGGGGTGAAAGTGGCTATCATTGAGCCCGGTTTCTTCAAGACTTTTGTGACCAGTACTCCGGTGATTTTTAGGAACTTCCAAGAGGCCTGGGAAAAGGCCAGCCCAGAGGTCAAGGAGGCCTATGGGGAGAGGTTTCTGGCACACAGTAAGTGAGCCTTGTGGTTCATGGGGATAGAAGCAAACCATTTTCCTGAAGTCTAGATGCATAGTTGGTACCACCTTAGTTTCAGGTCCAGCCTCTGTGCTCTGTCTCACCCACAAACACGGGACCTTTAATTCTATCTCCGTGGTCCCATGTTGTCAACTGGTAACCTAAGGAAGGGATCCAGGCTTGTTAGACGTGGCACCACTGTCTTATGTGACCTTCTCATTTTGTTGAGGATGAAACTAAGGCCAGAGAGAAAAGACACCCGTGAACTCCTGGTTAACAAGTATGAGAGCAGCTGGCTTTCAGGTACTTAGATTTCTAGTGTCTGTGGAGACAAACCTTCAGCTGTGTGTTCCACATGTTCCTAGGAATAAAGCCAGAGGTGGATGAGAGTGAAACAGTTGTGCCTGGTGGAGGAGAGAGGCACCCTCTAAAAAATTTAGTTAGATTCAATGTAGGGGACCAGGAAGTCTAGAAACTCATTCTGTAAGTTGATCTTCATGGTTGGAGTTGGGAATACATCTGGTTCCTTTCTCATTCTGGACAGGCCTGAAAGTAATTGGATTGTTGGATAAAATATGCTCACAAGATCTTTCCTTGGTGACGAACTGCATGGAACATGCTCTTACCGCCTGCCATCCCCGCACCCGATACTCACCTGGCTGGGATGCCAAGCTCATCTACCTTCCCATGAGCTACATGCCCACCTTCCTGGTGGATGCCTTGGTCAACTTGAGTAGCCCAAGACCTGCTAAGGCCATGTGACCCAAGATTGTGGTGCATAGTAGGGGGAATTGGGTACTGGGTGAGGGAGGGGTTGCATCTGTAGAGACAAGTATGGTGCATTCTTGTTCATATTCTCAAATACTATTATTAAAGTAAAATTAAATAATTGATTCAAAGAATATACATTTCTTTAAAGCCATGGAAAGTTTTTGAGCAGGACAGGGATTAATGTTGCAGAACCTTGTTCTTTCCAATGTTCCTAATGTTATGCCCTGACTTCATGATCCCCAAGAACCACCAGGGAGCAGAGTCCGATGCAATTGCAGAAAGCCTGAATTCCATGCAGGCAAGGGCTCTGTCCCACGCATGCCGACAGCGTGGCCGAAGAGAGGACGAATTTCAACAGTTCAATGGGTTTTATAGGGGTGGTGATGTCACTGCTCTGGCTGACCCCGATTGGTTGGGTGAGGGCTAGGGTCCAGTTACACAAAATGGAGGACAACTCTGCCCTGCCCCACAGTACAAAATGGAGTCAGGAATTAGCTTCACCCTGCCCTGCCCTCTCATTCCACCTTTTCTCATGTGCATGAGTCAAATCATTGACTCAGCCTACTTCCTTTTAGGGCATTTGCTGTTTGTTATCTAGTCTTACTTAGCCCTGGACTTTGTCACTGGCTAGTAAAAACGTACTTGACAACATGAGTAAGAATAAGCATAAACAACAAATACAGTTACCAAGACCCTTAGTACCACAGTTCCCATCAGTATTGTCCTCACTGAAGTCCAGTTCCCCTCCTGCAGGCATCAAGTCTCCTCCTGGCCTGAGTGGAGCCCAGGCTGGGGATCTCATAGATGAGGCCACTAGTTGCCAAGATCCAGGCCATGCAGGAGCTGGGAGTCATGTAGTCAGGTCTGGGTGATGTCTACTTCAACAGCCAAGGGCGTGCTCAGGATAACAGTGTAGTATCCCTTTGAGTCCTTGGGCAGTGAATTTCTTTACCCACACTGAGTTCCCGGGCTATAGGGGCTGTGGTGGGCACTGGCAGTGCATCTGGAACAAGCAAACTGCAGAGCCTGTAAGGACTTGAGCAAGGGAATGGTTATGAATTCCAGTTTTACCATACATGATCCCAAAAAAGGGGGGAACAGCCATCCCAGTAAAGGGTACACCTGGCCCATAAGAGGGCAAAGGGCAGGGATTGGTCCAATTTTCACCGGTTCTAGGACACATTTAGTTAAACTCCTTTTCAGAGTCCTGCTTATGCCTGTCCTAAGGCTTGAGCTATACTTTGAGATACCTTGGCTACAAAGGTTGGGCTGTTATCTGATCCTATGACTACTGGCAGCCCGAATCTAGGTATAATCTCCTGGAGCAATCTCCTGACAACTATAGAGGCAATTCCTGTCCCAGTGGGGTATACTCCAACCTAATCTGAAGTGTCTACAAAAACTAGACCTTAATGCTGGTGGCTTAATCTCTAAAATCCACCTACCAATGCTCTCCTGGGGAAGTTCCCTGGGACCCAAATTCCCAGGGGGACCTCCTTACCTTGCTTAGCATTTACCTGGGCACAGACAGTACTTCTAGCAACTCTGCCTCACAGAAGCTCAGAAGTCTTGGTGACACCTAAGTGGGTAATCTGGTGTCACTGTGCAACTAACGTCTGACCTAGAGCCTCTGTGACCAACAGTCTGTCATCTGGAGGGTCCACCAATCATCTGGTCCTTTGGTGGCTTGCTTCTGTTCAGCCAATTCCTTCCAGCTGCAGTTGGTAACCCTCTTTCTCTGTGGATGGCAGAGTGTCCCCATCTAAGTTCCTGGATAAAGGCCAAAAGTTCAAGAACTGTACCCAAATGGTGTGGTCCAGGGTGACTACTGCTGCCTCTACCTCATCTGGTGATAATGGCAGTACTGCGTCACCTCCATGCAGCCATGAATGGGCTCCTCTGGACCATCATCCAGAAGCAGGCTGGCAGCTTCTGGCCCAGAGTCTGCTTATCTGCCTCCTTCACCAGCAATGCTGTGGTGGCCACTACTCAGAGGCATGCTGGCCACGCTGCTGCCACAGGGTCCAGTATCTTAGGCAACAGGTCTCTTCCAGGGACCTAGAGTCTGAATGAAAATCCCTTTGGCAATGCCCCTTACCTCATTCACGTAGAGGTGGAAGGGCTTTGCGATGTCTGGCAAGGCTAGGGCAGGTGCTGAGATGAGAGCCTTCTATAGCTCCTCAAAGGCCCGTTGTTCCACTTTGGTCCAGTTCAGCAGCTGCATTCCCCCAACACGTGTTCCTTCCGAGGTCCACAATCCTTCTTGATGTCCAAGGAAAACAGGCAGTTTGTCCGGTGGCTCCCTGGACTGATGAACGGGTCCCATCAGCTCTATCAAGACTGAATAGGCTGCCCCAGTGACCACCAGGAAACTAACAGGTTTGCCTCTCCTAGCTAACCCGTCAGTACATTCTCTTTCTGTGCTCTCCTTTTTCATCATATGTACAACCTTTCAAATCAACTTTTAAACCTTCTTTCTATATTCTTCAAAAATACATAACCATACCTCAAATCTTATAGAAAAGGCAAGGGAGGAGGGAGCAGGTCCAGTACCCTGTTCCCAGGCCTCCAGCCACTTGAAATTTAAAATGCCACATTTTCCCTACAGATACAGATCTCATATTTTGATAAGCCCGAAAAAGGGGAATGGGGGAATTTTTAACTGCGCCTCTAAGCCCCCTAACAAAACTCAGTGAAAAGTGTCCAAGCAGTCGCTAGGGGTTAAATCACACAAATAATTATTCTCACACTGTTTTAAATCCTTAAAATATAAATCAAACATCACACTAATATAACTATAACAGTCTCATTAGGGGGTAGGGGGTTGCAAGGTAAAGTCTCTCCGTATCCCTGCCACCGCTACTCAAAACAACCCCTGGAGGGGGATAGATGCCGGGTGGGTAGAGGCAGGGAGTGTGGCGCAGGTCCCAGATGGTGAAGGAGGTGCTCCCACTGAGGCATTTTCATCCGACAGTCCGCTCTCTGTTCCCACTGGGAAAGGTGCTTGCCTCCTGCTAGTAGGGGGAGCGGTGACCCCTACATTGCAATCAGACTCCCTGAATTTTCTGAAAAGCCCCTCTGCTTGAGGGTATTTCTTCTAAAGATTTTACAATGTACTGTAATCATTAATCACATCAAACTTAAATGGCCAATTGAGACAAACAGTAGTTAACTTTAGAATTTGGTCTCTGCTTTTA